TGTACCCATCCTCTGATGGCTACTTCCACCATGTCACAAAGCTCTAATCATTTCAAATTGGTTTCTTGAACATGACAATGAGTTCACTGTACTAAAATGGCCTCCACAGTCACCAGATCTCAACCCAATAGAGCATCTTTGGGATGTGGTGGAACGGGAGATTCGCATCATGGATGTGCAGCCGACAAATCTGCGGCAACTGTGTGATGCCATCATGTCAATATGGACCAAACTCCCTGAGGAATGCTTCCAGCACCTTGTTGAATCTATGCCACGAAGAATTGAGGCAGTTCTGAAGGCAAAAGGGGGTCCAACCCCATACTAGCATGGGGTACCTAATAAAGTGGCCGGTGAGTGTATATATATATATACAGTAGTCACCATTTGAAGTGGATCAAAACCTTACATCAAAGTTATACATGAATTTTGAACAATGCCCGTTCTTGTCTTCTTTTTTTTTTTGATCCACTTCAAATGTTGATTACTGTATATTACGGAAGCCCTGAACCGCATGGTGAAAAAGAAAAAAAGAAAGCTTATCTCGTTATTTCGAGATATTAAGAATTCAACAAATCTGCAGCAATTTGTACAAATAGAGACATTTTTGTGAATAAAATGTTTTATTTTGTATTAGTGATCATAATTTGCACATGCAACAAAGATGATGTAGACACACGTGCATTTATTGACGTCTTTTCTGAGTCGATCTCATTTGAGTGTATTCGGCAGTGCTTAACGTGTAATTAAACGCGTTGAGTTTATATTCTGGGCTCATCAGATTTTTTTGTACATAGTATACTTTATTAGTATGATTTTTACTGTGTTTGGTCTGTTAATAACACTGTCCGTCTCTTTATGTTGTGGTTTGTATTAATTTCGATATGCCACTAGAGGGCAGAATAAGACAGGGAATTAAAGAATGCACTGTAGTTATGTTGTGTTGACCTACTGTTATGCACTTTTACAAGTTGGTGCTCCAAAATCCCAGAGGTTTATCATGGGAATTTACATTCATGCCAGGGATCATTCATTCCATTCCATTTATTGAGGTTACATTTATGTAGGCCATCAATGCTACCGGTTATATTGCCGTAGTATCCCTGTACCGTTACGATCAGCTGTTCTTCCATCTTGGCTGAACTTTCAAAGTTGTCATGGAAAGGATCAAAAGCTGATTGGTTGGTTCTTGTAAGCCAAAGTCCTCTTTCCCAAGAGCTGTGCAGACACTCAAAATCTTCACCCTTATTTCAGGTGACTAGATAGAGCAGGAACAAACGAACCGCTCGGCTCCAAAGGGTAAAGCTGAAGCTGTGATGCATCCGCTTCCGTATTTATACCCAGATGCAAATCTCGCACACCAATGTGCATTGGCTCGATTAGTTTACACTCGAAGGTGATTGGGCTCTCAGGCGATATCCCATTACGTCAGTCATTCCGACGTAACGTCGAATGTGACTGACTGAAAGGGAACCATGGTATGAAGACCGGAAGCATTTTATTAGAGCACTGCACACTTCCCTTTACAGGCGATGACTAACAGAAACATCAGCCTTCCTTCCTAGACTGTAATCACCAGCACATCTCATTCAGAGCACATCATTTTGGAGAGGTTTCCATAGAAACCATATAGTAGCAGAGCACAGATGAACACCGCAATTTCCTCTCGCACTCAAATGAAAGGAAAGAGACGACCTAAGACAGCAGAATACATGAGGAAAATACACATGCACACATGTTTTACCCTCTCTTAGCATTAGATATTTCTGTTTTTGAATTAATAATAAATCATTTTTGGGAGTTTTTTTTTTTAATGGCCTAAACACCAACATCAAAACACTATCTGTTTATGTCCTCACACATACTCATTAACTTTTATTCATTTGTTAAATTTGATAAATAATATAGATGGTTTTATCCAAAGTGACTTACCAAAGAAGATAATATTGTACATTGATAATATACAATACCAGATTTATTAGGCAACTAGATTATAAAGCAAGCAAGAGAAGAGGAGAAATGCGAAGAAAATATAAGTTTGTTTGTGTGTGTGTGTTTGTGTCAAATGATCAACATTTGACCCAGCAGATTGTTGATGAAGAACATTACTAATCATGTTTAGTGATTCTGAAAAAGGCTGCGAAACGCTTACTCAACTTAATACATTTATGTTTGAAATGAGAATGTAATTATATTGTGTAAAGTACAAGTTAAATAGATAAGACTTTACAAAAAATGACTACATTTGCTATAATTTTACTTTTAAAATGCACAATTTAACTTTGTTAAAACAGAAGTTTAATATATCCATTTGCATTGGGACTACATGAATCAACACTGCGATACCAACACAGGCTTGTGATTTACATGTGTGTGTGTGTGCATGTGCAACACAGGCTTGGGATTTACATGTGTGTGTGCATGTGCAACACAGGCTTGTGATTTACATGTGTGTGTGTGTGCATGTGCAACACTGGCATGCTTTTCTTGAGAGAGTAAATGTTGAAATTAATGCAGTGCTTTTATGCTGTGATGAGATGACGAGGGAGTTTTTTTGTTAAAGGGACTAGAAACAGTTGGCAGAACATAAAATAAAACTGGAACAAAATCCCTTTCAAAGCGTTGTACAGTATATATTGGGGTGCCCTATGCAGACTGCGGGATGTGCGTATGCCCCACACCCCAAAACCAGAAGTCGCTTATTTTGAGCATGTTTTTCCATTTTTAAATGTATAACAACAATCAAGAGTTAATGTTACATAAGTTTTGTAATGTATTGAGAAAAGTTGGGTATACATTAACTAATTTCTTTTATTGTGTCATTACTTATAGGTAGTCTTTACTCAAAACATGGAATAAAATCTAACTTAAATTCAACACTCGTTTGGGTCAAAAATATGGACTGTTATGGCCACTTTAATGTTTCATTTGTATTTTTGAATTTTGAATTTTTGCCCTGAATGAGTTATTTATAAAATAATTATGAATAATATCCATTTATTTGTATATTTTTTTTTGTATTACTTACTTTTATATTTTATGTATATATTGGCTTATTTCTATTTGAATTGTAATATAGGCGCCCCCCTGCGGTGACATATTTAACTAATAACAGGAAATGGCACCGGGGGGAGCGAACCAGTTTCCAACGGCAGTATAAATGTGCTGATGTGTGTGTGCCGTACAAAACAAAGAAGAAAAATAAAATGCTTTCAAAGAGGAATTAATGGACTGCTTGTTGATACTGCTTGTTGATGGTAAAAGTCAAAGCAATGCTTAATGGCCTGATGCTTCTACATGGACAAACCCAACCGTTGGATTAAATTTAACAACCCAGAGTGTAGTGTTCACAGCTGAATTCAGTTTTTTTCAAAGGTATTGGTTTCAGTGAAAAGATAAATTTTACTCTAATGAAATGTAGATTTGTCCCTCCCTTATAGACTTTAGATAGTAACTTAATGCGGGAGTCCAGTGCCAATGACAGGTTATATAGTCTGAGTGCCAGTATACGTGTGTGGTCTCATGCTACGGCCTGTTTGAATGAGGGATTACAGGAAGAGTAGAAGAGTAGCTCAAGGCACTTTTATCTCTCCACACAGTCGCTGTGCTGTGCAATTATCACTCACAGAGCATGCGCTCTAGCTGCAGCTCCAGCTCACATTTATAATGCTGGACCTATAATGAGACTGCAGCCTTTCTTACCTCCAGCCTGAGCACCTCCACCCGGGGGCTCACTCTTCCAGTCCAGCGCGTCACAGGCTACGGCCACCCTCCCCCACACCCTTCTTTTGTGTGACTCTTAGACCGCCAGAAAATAGATCCTCTCCTGGAAACAGAACTATCACAGAACTGTGCTTGTGTTCATGTACATCTAATGACATTTCACCAGAAGCTTTGTGAAATATATCAACTTCATAATGTTGTGTTTGAATCACTTGAATTCTAATTTAACTCTTTCAGACATCTATAAAATTTTGTTTTCCTTTGTCCCCTAGTATGCTGTGACATTTTCCCCTTTTAAAAATGGTTTAATATTGAGATAATATTGATATGAATATATATGAGAATGCCTGGAAAGTCCTTTTGACCACATGGACAGTCCTTTTTTTTTTTTGCTTTATTTTTGTTATCTTGCATATTTTATTTATTGCACACTAAAACGTTGAGTGTGAATAATGTGGTGTTGGTGGGTGTCCGTTAACATTTAAATTATAATGTGTGATTTAAAGGTACATAAAACTGATCGACACTGGCAGAATTGACAATTTATACAACTGACATGAATTACAAACATATTGTGGCATGGTTGAAATAATTTAGGACTTTAGCATTACACTTAGGGTTAAAAATGGATAAATAACTTTTGGTACTTTGCAAGTCTCACACAACGAATGAACGAATGATTGAAATGAAAAAAATCTGGGTCTAAATGCAGCAGTTGGCGTTTAATAATAAATAAATAAAAATCAAAGATAACCTTTCGACTGTACAGCAGCTCTAAAAGAAAATAGTTTCAGTTCAGTGATCCATTTTAAAGATCATCAATTACAGCAATTCTGCATAAAACAGTGATGTCATAGTCCAGCTCCGTTAAGCTCTCATCCAACATTTAAAAATGATGTGAATACACAACATGAATATTAAGGGTTCCCAACTAAGCAAGCCAAAGGTGAGGTGGCAAGGAACCCAAACTCCATCAGTGACAGAATGGAGAAAAAAACCTTGGGAGAACCCAGGCTCAGTCGGGGGTTCAGTTCTCCTCTGGCCAATGAACGAACAGTGTATGATTATTCACCCAGTTGCTTTTGCTTGATGATCGGATTCATCAGGCCAGTATGGAGATGAAGCTGGTCATAGGGTCTGTGCAGACAACGCATTCTCATCCCAAGGCGTCATATACTGACGCTTTTGCCAAAGCGTATACATCCAACGCACATGGCACCCTTTATCGTCAATATAACACGCTTCGGTTATGGGTAGGTTTAGGTCTGGGGTAGGGTTAGGGTTAGACCACTAGGAGGCGCCTTCTGGCCCATATATTTCTGTGTCTCATATTGACGCTAAAGGGTGCCATGTGCGTTGGATGTATACGCATTGGCAAAAGCATCAGTATATGACGCCTTGGGATGAGAACGGGCTGGTGCAGAGGACTGGTCTGGTTCTTGTGGTCGACGAGTCCTTCACAGGGGAGAGTCTAGTTGACATATACAGTATACGAAAACCTCTGGATTAACAGAGAGACTAATATTAGCATCCTTCTTAAGATGTAACAAGTACTGTCAGGATTCCATCCACGTCACGATCGCCATCGCCGCCCACTCATTCCCAATCACCCAGTCGGACACTCCCCCGTTCACAATCACCTGATTACTAATCACCGTCACCTGTGTCCCATCACCCACATGCACTATAAAGCACTCACCTTCACTGCAGTCACTTGTCTGGTATCGTCATTCCATGACTCACAGACTCCCCGTCAACCTACCTGCTTCTTACCTGCTTCACGATCCTCCTGAGTCCGTCTATCCATCCATCTTCGGTGTTACTGCTTCCTATCCATCTGCAAGAGAGAAAAAGGACATTATCATTCCAGCTAAGACTGTCTCATGTTTCAAAGTCATTTTGATCCTTACCTGTTGTCTCCGACTGAATACCATCTGCACAAATAAACTTTACTAACTTACCATACAGTCTGTTCCTTCTGTGAGCCCTGACAAGTACATTGGGTGTTATAGGAAGTGTTCCCGGTTGACCCAATTTATGCAGCCAAACAGTCCTTTAAAGGGATAGTTCACCCAAAATTGCACATTCTATCATCGTTTACTCAAGTTACCCTCAAGTTGTTCCATACCCGTATGAATTTCTTTCTTCTGTTGAACACAAAAGAAGATATTTTGAAGAATATGGGTAACCAAACAGTTGATGGTCTCAGGTGATGTGCCATGCTTCATTAATTCATGGGCCTTCAGTTTGATCTATCCTGGACACAAAATTTGTGGTAACACCAGACTCCACTTTAATCTACTAGAAAAAAATATTTCAGAAGAATAAAGAATCAATCAAATATAACATTTTATTTGTTAGGTATTTAATTACACAATTAAATTAGAAGCCACATTCATGAGCACATTTTTCTGTAATTAATCACGATTAATCACACCTAACATTCGAGTTTTTAATATTTTTTCTTCTTAATTTTAGCCATTATAGCCATTCAGCATTACAGTATAATTAAAAGCTATCAATTTTAACATTTATTAGGCTTTAAAAAATATAACAAGTTTTAATTAAAGTGAACTTAAAACAATCTTCACATTAATGTCATATTTACCTGTCCTTAAAAACAAATCTATTGGCCCAGTCAGACCAGTTCAGATTTGTACTTACCCACAATGCCCAGTCAAAATGCACAAAACATTTTTGTTTTCGTTGTTTTTGACCCATGTGACCTTGTAAACAGTGCTTTAAGATTTTCAGGTAGGCCTAACGGGTAGAATATATACAGAAATTAAATAAAGTTATCAAACACTTCACAGTCTTCACTGCATTAATTAAATATAGAGTAAGATTCAGATCATAAGCTCATTAGGCAAGAGCTCCAAGAACTGAACTGAGTGTTTCAGATAAAGGAGACATACAAAATGTGCAGAGCGGGTTCCCCAGGACCAGGATTAAGAGCCACTGGTTTAAAAGCATTTGGATGAATAAGAGCGTGATCATATAATGTAACTTTAGTCAAAGGATGACGGAAAAAACGGGTGCTGCGTTAATTGTGTTAAAATGATACCAAACATGAAAGGGAAAAAACAATATATTCATAATATACATCATATGTGGTATATAGACATTGTCAGTGAACTTTTTAGTGACTTGAGCCAGGTGAAAGGAGTGTAGTAGGAAGAGGGGGGATGCATAGATAAGCGAGGAGAGAAGTTTGTGCAAGGCGGTGTCCTATGCTCTTTCTTTGAGATCTTCTCTCCAGATAAATGATGTTTCACTAAACAAAGTATCTAAACAAATAATCAATCCAATTAACTTGTCATCAACAATCATCATGACTATCCCATCAGCATGAGAGGAAGCATATATATATATATGCACTCAGTCGACTCACCTACACTCCTTGACAGTTTTTCTGCATCCCTCCACCACCCGACTCCTCACTCTCGGCTTGCTCCTTCCACAGCCAGGAATACGGGGGGAGTACTCTGGGTTCGGGCCAAATACCGAGCCCGGAGCCCTCTCCTCGGACAGCACACCAAATATGCATACCATTTATTCTATCTGACTTATTTGTAAGTGTGAACTTGTGAAATGAGTTTTATTGTTTTATTGCAGGGTGTTTGATCTCATGTTCTGTCTTAGCAGGAAAACCAGTCTTACACTTGAAACTTGACTCCTGAAGTCTTACACTTGAAACTCCTGAAACTAAAAAAATATTACTATAAATTACAGCAACACCTCTCCCTTTTTCTTTTCAGATGAGGCTTGTGTTTCTAATATTCAGCCAACCATAATATTCAGTTCTGTCAGGACCACTATCATCAAATACGATTGACAATTAGCATACAGTTTTGGATTGGCGGTATGGTTCCGTTCTGGGCGAGAACTCCCTGCGCATCCATGCAGCCTAGCATGGGTAAGAGCAGGGAGAGTAGCAATAACCCCCCAAAACACAACCATGTGCCAATATCCCCCCAACCCAAACTGACAGCGCAATTCTGGATGCTTTTGCAGTTACCTGAGTGAGCCAAGGCAACAAGCATGTTGCCAATACCTGAAAAGCTTGAGCAACAGCATGTTACCAACAATAGAGGAACTTAAGCAACAAGTATGTTGCCCTTAACTGGATGACCTAACCGAGTATGTTGCCCTTACCTGGATGACCTAAACGAGTATGTTGCCCTTAACTGGATGACCTAACCGAGTATGTTGCCCTTACCTGGATGACCTAAACGAGTATGTTGCCCTCACCTGGATGACCTAACCGAGTATGTTGCCCTTACCTGGATGACCTAACCGAGTATGTTGCCCTTACCTGGATGACCTAAACGAGTATGTTGCCCTTACCTGGATGACCTAACCGAGTATGTTGCCCTTAACTGGATGACCTAACCGAGTATGTTGCCCTTACCTGGATGACCTAACCGAGTATGTTGCCCTTACCTGGATGACCTAAACGAGTATGTTGCCCTTACCTGGATGACCTAACCGAGTATGTTGCCCTTACCTGGATGACCTAAACGAGTATGTTGCCCTTACCTGGATGACCTAAACGAGTATGTTGCCCTTACCTGGATGACCTAAACGAGTATGTTGCCAATTCCCGCATCAGCCATAGCAACAAGCATGTTGTCAATACCCGAAATGCTTAAGCAGTAAACATGCATATTGACATGAATGATATGCCATCTGAAATGAAGAAGTTAAAATTGAGATATCAAAATGAATCAGCTGCTTGCTTGTGGTTGTATGTCCCCAGTCCAGTTCCAGTTTCTTTTGAGTGACGACTGTAAGCTAGAGATGAGAGATGGAGATTTCCTTTTCAATTATCCTTTTCATTGGAAATACGTCACAATACTGAGTAATGTTGGTGGAAACTTCCAGTTCACGCAGAATTAAGCAACACATGTCATTAATACAGCTGGATGGTTTAATGCAACAAGAGTGAATCTGATACTTAGATATATTTAGGCACAAATATGTAGGTTTGCAAAAAGCGTGTACACTGACACCTGTCATTATGTCATAACCTTGTTATACTTGGTTGTAGTTTACTTCTGTAGAAACCAAGAAAATACAATTTGTTTTTTATACATTACCCCCAAGACGACTGAGGCTGATAGAATGGTTACATCCTGATGTTAGAGGCATATGTTGAGCACTATAGATCCAATCTTATGGGGGAAGCATCACCGCAGCTGGAGCAAGCAAGGACACATTGCAACAAGCGTGTTGCTGTAACCATTTTACCAATTGTATGGGATCTATTGGGAGAAGCTTACACCCCTAGCGGCAGCAAAAGCTGATACAACAAGCATGTTTTATAATTGCGGAACTATTGCTAAAACTAGTGTAGTTTGGCAGGGGAAGCATACACTCTACAGCAATAGCTCCCACTAGCGGCAACAGAACTGGTACAACTAGCATGTTTGTATAACCATAGATCTAGTATTAAAACTAGTGTAGTCTGGTCGGGGAGTCAGATGCAGTGCGCAGCTAAGCTATGAACACAGTGGGCTCTATCTTGCACTCGGCGCAAATGACTTTGTACACTGACGCATGTATCATTCCTATTTTGCACCCGCGCAAAGCGGACTTTTCCCTCCACAGACACACGTCGGTTAACTAAGAAATACACTTGCGCTCCCCGGGGCGGTTCAGCGCAAAGAGGAGGCGTGTTCCGGCGCAAACTTTCCCTCATGCTATTTTGCTGTTCTATAAAACAATTGCGCCACTGACCAGAAAAAAACTAGTCTACAGTCAGTGGCGCGTTGCGCGTTGTTCATTATGCTATTTTAAGCGCGCATGCTTGGCCATAATGTAGCGGGTGCACAACGCGCATACACTTTGATTCTCTCATCAACACAGATGCAGCAGTTTTTATTTTTGCAAATCATACATTATAACAAGGAAAAATATTAACACATGAGGGAAATCATTGTGGTGTCCATGAAAATTTAGTTTTTTTCCTCCCACGCCTGTTTAACCGACGCTGATTTGTATGGGGATGGGAGAAACCCACCCACTATAGATAGATAGATAGATAGATAGATAGATAGATAGATAGATAGATAGATAGATAGATAGATAGATAGAGAGATAGAGAGATAAATAGATAGATAAGTCTGATTTGAACGTTGAATTTCTTGTTATTTCTGCATGCATTCTACTTCAGACAGTCAATAAACAGTGCCGTCTGAGGGTGTTACTGCATGAGGGTTTATGCCATAGTTTACAGGTGCACGCAAAACACGCAATACAACGTCACTTCTCTGTCTTTCACGGTCCTGACAAGAGTGTCGGTCTCCTCGGCTGTGAACCGCTCCTGACGCGCGCCTGGTAAATCCGCCGTTATAATAGCAATCCGCCATGCAACATGCGCACCTGCTCTTAAAGGGAATGTGAGATGACGCTCTGA